GGATGTTCGGTTGTTGGATGTTCTGTGGGACGGTCGGATGTTCTGTGGGACGGTGGGACGGTCGGATGTTCTGTGGGACGGTCGGATGTTCTGTGGGACGGTCGGATGTTCCGGTTGGATGTTCGGTTGTTGGATGTTCCCTCCCTGACTGATGATGTGTTCTCCGTCCCGTTGCCTCCAGGCTTCTTCGCCGCGGCTAACGGCGGCTCGCTGCAGCGCTCCTTCCAGGGCTGCATCCAGATGATCCACATCGATGACCACCTGGTGGACCTGCGGGCCGTGGAGGAAGGTCACCTGGGAACCTTTGAAAACGTTAGCTTGGACATGTGTGCTATCATAGACAGGTATGCAGCCGCTTTAGGACCCGATCGTCTGGTTTTCTCTGTTAGCCAGCGTTACGGCGGGAAAAGTTGACGTTTCTTCCTGCTGCCGTGTGATGACAGATGCGTGCCCAACCACTGTGAACATGGTGGCAGATGCTCCCAGACGTGGGAGACCTTCAGCTGTAACTGCAGTGGGACCGGCTACACCGGAGCAACATGCCACACCTGTAAGTCTTCCTCCATCCATGGCAGTGGCCTTCCCCCGGCTGCACAGGAAGCCACTACCGTGCTTCCCTCACCATAAACCGAGTCAGTATAAAAACTCTGATCACTCAGACAGACAGGCCTACGCCAGGAACTCTAATGGTGAACCCTGCTTTCATTTACAGGCTTTAAAGTTTATTTTTAGGGAGTCATGGACTTTATTTTTAATTTGATATCAGGCAGGTGTAGGAGTTTATAGAAAGTCCTAATTTTACATATTGATATTTATGATCAAACCTTTGATTCTCTGAGCCGGTGGTGTTGCAGACAGGAGAAAACTGCTCTTCCACATGATGGATATGATGTTTATGTCATAATCTAATCCAGTTTATTCCTAAAAGTGATGTTCAGATTAGCAGTGAGGCAACAGAAGAGTAGATGGTTTGAAATGGGGTCCTGAGGAAAACAGCTGACCTTTACATTCCTGACTGCAATGAAGCTAAGTGCAGCCCAGCTAATTGAAGCTAAGTGCAGCCCAGCTAATTGAAGCTAAGTGCTGCCCAGCTAATTGAAGCTAAGTGCAGCCCAGCTAATTGAAGCTAGGTGCAGCCCAGCTAACTGAAGCTAAGTGCAGCCCAGCTAATTGAAGCTAGGTGCAGCC